AATGAACAAAGGGGAAGGGATGGGGGAAGATTCGCAACAGTTCCGTAAAATTTTCTCAATTTCCATCGAGTCGAGGAATGTTGTTCCCGAAATTTAGCACGAGCAAATTATTAAAAACTTTCAGTTCCTTCATATGTGATAATCCTTACCCCACTGGAGACAAATTAGCAAAATCCTGCAGCCCCTACGATAATTTATACTCAGTCGGTGGCATTGCATTCGAACCGGAGGCAAAAACTTCGCGAAAACACTTCGAAAGAGACGGAAAACGAAATCCATAGAGGCGGCGAGGAAACGAGGAAAGTTTTGCAGCGGGAGATTCCCGAGTGACTGGCTCGTGCGAGATGATGCAGCATCCGGAATCTGTATCCGAGCGAGAAATCGAATCCGTGATTTCAGCATCACGGATCCGCAGCTTCATGGTCGATCGGACCTGCACAAGGTCATCCGGGGATCGTGCCTTCAGCCGCTTCGTTTTCTCGAGCCGGGCTGTTGTAGTTGCAGACGTGTGAGAATTGGGGCCTCCGTGCCCGCCTCCGTGCCTTCCTCCGTGCCCCCCTCCGTGCCCACTTTTGACCTCGTCACGTCTCACGCGTGAACATCGATCGACGTGATGATGAGATGGAGCGCAGAGAGAAGCGAAGTGTTCCCCGACCCTCTGCATCTGGTTTACGCCGTCCTCGTCGCCGTCTGCACTTTCCGGATCGTTCGACGCCCCATCGAGTGGTGGTTGGAACCCCTGGGCCGGCGACTCCTCGGTCCCGGACGGCAGGCGAGAGCGAGGAGGTTCGCGGAACGGGCGTGGAAGACGGTGGCGGCTGCGGTGCTGTCGGGCTGGGACGTGGCGACGCTCTGGGGGAAGCCGTGGCTGCGGGAGGTGTCGCTCGCCTGGGAGGGGTACCCGGGTCACGAGGTGGATGAGGGGCTGCGGTGGAACGCGGTGGCTCACGTCGTCAAGGGGGTGTGGGCGGTCATGGGGTTCTTCGGGTCGGTGGGGGAGGATCGCTCGGATCTGTTGCACCACTGGGTCGTGTTGGTGGGGGTGACCGCCTGCTGGATGGAGAACGGGCTTCGGTTCCTGTCGCTCCTGTGCGTCGCGTACGACTGGACCGACCTTCTCGTGAACGTCTCGCTGGCGTTCCACAGCCTGGGGTGGACGCCTTGGTGGGAGGCAGCGATGGCGACCACCGTCGCGGGCTATGTCGTCGGCAGGGTCATTGCTCCCGTTGGGATCACGGTGAAGGCGCTCCGGGAGGTGGAGGGTCTCACGGTCGTCATGTGCCTGGGAGCGGGGAATTTCCTGCTTTTCACGACTTTGAACGTCTATTGGATCGGTTGCTTCGTGGGGATGATCGCTCGGTCCAGGCGTCAGAAGGCGAAGAGGGGATGACGTCTCTCGGGGCGCGTCTGTCCGTTGCTGCGATGTGTGGGGTGACTTTAGGTTTTCGGAGAGATTTTTTGGCATTCTCTTTGGTAAATAAATGAGCAGGCTTTTGGGGTCATAAGTCATTGGTCGATGAAAATTAATTTTCAGTTAATATCTAAATATCTGATTCAAGGGAAATTTTCCCTTTTCACCTTTCTCTTTTCTCTTAGAATGATTTTCAGAGTGTGGCATAAACGGACAGCACAACTATTCCTTCTATGTGTAATTCCATGCTTCGTTCCGTTCCATGGGAGCGCTAAAAGTCAGCCGACTTCGGGTTCATCGGAAAAACTCAGCGAAAAAAAAAGGTCCGATCCGAGTACGGTTTTCTCCAGTTGGCCGCTTCTCATCGAGCCGTCCCACGGAGTTGAGCTCTTGGGAACTCAACTCTTGCGGATGGGAAGGGTCAATCCTCCAGGGATGTCGGGACAGGCTTACAAGAAGCGTCGGGAGAAAGGAAAGATATTTGCGCTTTTTCTTCCTTCCTCCCCCAGTTAGTCACGCACGAAGCATCAATATTGGCTTTTGTGGGACGGTTGTCTTGCAGTCATTCAGGAAAAGGAAAAAAAATTTTTCCGTACTTTTTCAGTTCGATCCTCTCTCGCGGAGGGGAAGATGCGTGGAACTTAGAGAACGAAATTCCCGGCAAAAAGTTGCCCAATAGAAACGAGGTACCGCCAATCTGGGCGACAGAATTCGGCCGAAGCGTGGAGAATAATGTCAGCCCCGATTCCTAAAATAGGTTGATCCTTCAACGAGCCCGTTCCTCACCGGGCGCCAGGCGACGAAACGGCTGTGACTCTCCACATTTCAGCAGGATTCCCCTTCCCCCCCCCCTCAGCCCTCCCCCTCTCCCGCCCTCGCAAATTTACTTCGAATTTCGTGGAAACCTCCGCGAGTAGGTGCTAGGTCGTGCTGGCCGACGCCGTTGGGTGCAAGGGAGAGTAAGGGCCTTGTGGGATCTTACGACATGCTTCGGTGGATCGAAGTCGCCCGTGATCACACTAAAACGTCAGCTTATTTATTCTTTGGGTATTCTCGATCCTCGATTCTCGATCGTTGATACGATAACCGTGCAGGATGGATTCGAAGGCAATCGGCAATCCCGACATCGGACATCACTGCATCCACGCGCGTCGGAAGCAGCGATGCCGGATTGAGAATCCTCGAACCTCGGAGTCATGCAGAGAAGGAGGAGCTCTTTCGATTCGGACTCGAATGTCACGAGGCAATTCCCTCATGCTTGCATGTCACGGGGCAGTTCCCTCGTGCTCTACCTCGTGCTCGTGCTCAGTGCTCGACTTTCTGCAACTTGGCGATGGTTAGAGAGAACGAACCGAAAGTTCGGCTTTTTTCAACTATTGAGAAGTTTCAGAAGGGATGAAAAAACGGCGAAAGTCGGTTCAAATGACCGAAATGGTGTAATCTGGCGGCATTTCCCCCCCCGCCTTTTGCCTTTTTCATTTAAGATTTTGAGGCGTCCGCCAACGTCGTAGCAGCGTCGTGGCAGCGTCGCATTTTCGCGGGGTTAACGTCGCATTTTTTCACATGGATGCTCGAAAGGAAACACCTGGCAACAAAAAAAACAGGCGCCTCATCCCGGATCGATCGAGGCGAAACGACTCCGAATCGGTCGCGCTTATGAAGATAATGATCCTTTAAAAACTTGAACGGCGTCGCCGATCCTCCTTAAAAAGTTAGGCCCGAATGCACGAACCTCGTTTGAAGGAGCTAAAGGGTCCTTTAAGCTTAAGAACATTTTTTCCTCAATAGGATTCTATGAATCCTTAAAGTACACAGCAAAGTAGAAACATACAAGGAGAGGTACATATTGTGTCCCTCGGGTCCGCTTGTGTGGTTCAGACGTACACATGTGTGCGTTGCAGACGCAGATGTCCGGATTCTCAATGCAATACTCAAAATCGGCATAGGATGGCGTTTATGTAACTTTCGAAGTCGAGTCGGGACGCACCGGGCCTTAGGAGAAGAGTTTTCTTCCTTTCCCTGTATTCATCTTATCATGATACTTGCAAAGCAGTATTTGGTAAAATAATAGTTATCGTGTTTCAATGGCAATCAATGATTCTGGAAAATTTTAAACGCTGGGGTTTTGTACGGGAACAGAGAAGTATGAGCCAACAGGTTACGAGTTTTAATAAACTTGAAAGATTGTCCTTGTAAAACAGGGTGGCCTTGTAACCTACTGGTCCCATGATAATTGGAAAAGACACTGCTCATGAGACAGTCGGCACGTCCAGTGCGAAATGGAGACGCTGTCCGCGTGTTATCAGTGACAGCTCGCTGCCTGTCAGAGACGGGGTGCCGGATGATGGTG